TTAATGTTGGACTTGTGGGCTTGGGCAGCATTGGGTTGGGATGTTTTCATGATGCACACTTTCTTTACATAAAACTCTCTTATACATGAGTTGCTGTGGATTTGTTTCTCTAAAGTACCTAGACTAATACAGGCCCCAATAAAATGATTAGAAAAAAGAAAGATTTACAGTCTCAGAAGCCCTCGGGAACAGTCCTGCCTGGGGCTGGCTGTGGGTTGAGGTGGGCTGCCGTGAGTTAGAACCTGTGCCATCACAGCTGTGAATCTTTTCTTTTTCCTGCAGCATATCTTAAACATTGTTGCTCAATAGTAAACCACTGACATTTAGGATCAAATGTTATTTCTATTAAAAATTTTAATAGAGAGCATATTTTTAGATACTGCTTTAACTGTTATTACCACATACTGTATGTAGCACTTTACATTCACCTTTCTCCTAAAGATTAAAGAACTGAAAATGTTCACAGTCAGCTAAAATGTAGCCTTAATAACTCATAATATGCAAACGCTGAAACTTAAGGTTTTGCACAGCAGGTAAGGCTTCAAAGTCACAGCCTTGTTTAATTATAGTTTTTAAAACAAAAGCACATAGTTACTTGACAATCGTTAAAGAGCTTTTTCAGTAGGCTCCAAATACTTGATTTAAATTTGTGAAACAATCCTAATTATATAGACTGTGGAGGAAAACATGTACAACATTATTTGAACATCAGTCACGCACACTTTAACCATTATTTTATATAAGCTTCATTTTAGGTTTGGGATTTTTCTTTTAAGGTTTGATTACTTTTTAACCTTGCCACTTTGTGTCCGTCACAAAGTGCTCTCAATGATGGGAAATTTTACCTCTCAAATTTCTAGTGTGGCATTAAACTTTGTAAGATGTTCTCCTTTTCTTTGTCCTTCTGTTTATGTAAGCTTATTTGTAAAGTGGAAGTATGGTAATACGGAACTTGAAATCCAAAATCTTTTTTAGCAAGTACTGGTGCTAACATAGACCTCCGGTAGGGCAGAAATCTCATGTTTACCCATTGCCACATGTGTTCGCCTAGGGGTGTTGGTGTGTTTGCATGCTACAGTCATCCTAAATCCCTGTTTGACATGTTCATAAAGGGGCTGGCTTGGTAGGCCAGCGTGTCGTCTCTAGTGCTGAATCCGGTGAAAGGTGAGGAACTAACAGGGGAATCAGACTCCTGGTTCTCCTCCATCAGCCATATGCTGAGCGGCTCCTGTACATCTATCTGCGCTGAGTATGTACCACGGAACAGGCTTCACTAAGTTCCGGGTGCTTCTAAGCAGCTACTCTGGTCTTAGATAGCTTTGTTCTTTCCAGTGGATCAGGAGCTTCAGGTGGTTGCTGTTTAATAATGAATGTGGAAAAGCGCGGTAGACCGATTGCTCTTTCTGCAGTTGGAATCATTGCCAGTTTTGATGTGTTTGGCTTTCAATGATTGGGGGACCTTGGCTTGTGAGGTTAAGATGTAATCAAACAGCATGAGTTCAGAGTTAACTGATTTAGAATTTATAATCATTAAAAATGGCCTTGGTATCATTCAAGAAATGATTTAAAAATTAATAGTATAAATCAGAAGGGAAAAGCTACCTTATCTTTAAACACCCACTCCTCCTTTCTCAACTCTCTCATTATCCAATATTTTAAACCTGTTACCTGAGCATTCTGTGCATTTATTACGTGTGTCTGGCAGAAGTGAATGTGAGGCACGAGGCAGGACTACCAGTAGCTGTGACGGTTAAAGGTGTGTGTCAGCTTGGCTGGAACACGACCCTCCGTGGATTGGCAGTTATCTAATGATGTTTTCTTTCTCCATTTTGTGATCGAATAGGGTCGGTCTCGATTTGTGCATGATAGCAATTTTCACACAAAGGAAAAGGTTCTGGAAACATAGCCACGTTGACAAGTGAGAAGTGGGTGTGATCCAGATGATACATTGTCACGTCACACACATTTTAATATACATAGATGAATATATTTTAATACGCAACCAAGTCGGGTTGGGAGTCTCTGCTTTTACTACGATTAGCTTCTTGACATTATGCTCTCTGAGGCTCACGTCTTACTTCTATAACAATGAAAAAATTGTACCAGGATGCTTTTTAAAGTCTACCCTGATTCTCATGCTCTTTAGTGATCCTGAGTCCTCAAATGACTGAGCAGAGCAGCTACCCAAACCTACTTCATTAAACATTTGAGAAAATGTTAAATCTGTAGCCTTTAAAGATTATTCTATTATTTAAAATGTGACAATCAGAAGAACTTACCCCAGATTTACAAATGAATATCATCTAATTATTTTTTTATTGTATCAGGTCTCTGCAAAGGAATCTGACTTATGTACTAGGAAGGTATGAGACAAAAGTGATTTATTAAGATTAAAAAAAAAAAAGACTAGGCATTCACTCATTGGAATATATGAGAATTTTGCTTAGTCCATCAAGAGGCAAACTTACCTGTAAGGGATATTTGCTAAGCCAGTATTTTGGATAATCTTGAGTATCAGGCTGTTTTGAGTATCACCAAACCCCAAACCAAGCTCACTACCAGAGTCAGTGGTGACTTGGGGGGAGCGGTCCCTGTGGGTTTCTGAGATAGTCATTCCTTACAGGAGTAGAAGGCCCATCAGCTGACCTTGCAGTTGGCCACCCAATGTTTATTGAATATACGCTAAGAAATGTATCTACCACACACCGTGGCTTTAGAGTACGTCTTTATCCATATATTGGCCACCCAATGTTTATTGAATATACTCTAAGAAATATATCTACCACACACCATGGCTTTAGAGTACGTCTTTATCCAGATATCATAAGATTTGTGTGTCTTGTACAAGATTACATAGGTACTTAATTACTATGTTATAAAAATTGGTATTGTGATAACCGTTGAAATAGCTATAGATTAAACTGATTTCTATAAACTAGCAGCTGCTTTTGGTAGTTCAGTATGTCCATTCCAGGTGTACACTTACAGTTCCCTAAATTGCCAGGTTGTGGCAGATTGTAAAGTTTGCTGAATTGTTATTGAAGTTATGTTTTTCCCCCTACAGGTTAAAATTCTGTGTCACCAGTTGCTGGTCCAGGTGTGTGACCTTCTCAGGCTAAAGGATTGTCACCTCTTTGGACTCAGTGTCATACAAAGTAAGTGCCCAGCCCATCACTATAAGGATTGTAGCTAACGCTCTCTGATCAAATGGCATTTTATCGCTGTAACTGCCATCAAACATGCTGCTATCAAATTGTGGTTATCAAAAAAATGGCCATAAAAGGGTCATAATTTTTTGAACTTGGTATTCATTTTTAACCACAACTATTGTATATTTCTTAACAAAGTTTAGGATTCTAGACTAGATATTTAATATAGTTTGTACTTATTTGTTAGTGGTCTGGATTTAATGTATTTTCAACTAATCAAGCTTGATTTTATGCTTTTTGGTTTTGTCTGGTTCTGTTTCATTGGGCTCAGGGCGTAGCTGGAGCTAGGAAGAAAATATCCTAGGTATTTTTATAATTCAATTTGTGTTTTAATTTTTTTAATTAAAAATAAGTTTAAACATAGTAAAACTGACACTTTATCCAAGTTCTCCTTCACTTTATATAAAAGTTGTAACATAAATCTACAACATTAACTTGACCCTTTATTTTCTGTTTTTTCCCCTCACCAGTCAGGTAATGTGACTTGGAGACTTCATGTCAGTTTCCACTGTACACTGTAGAGCAGATGGTCAAGTTAAGGCTTCACTCCACACAACCTTTCCTTTCCCATAACTCTTTAGTCAGAGTGAAATTCCCAGTTCTCTGTAGCCATTCCTCGTGACTTTTCTTCCTTCAAATCAAATCACACAATTTTTAAATTTCTCTAATTAAATTTCATCTTCTAGATGCCAAAAAGCTTTTTATATTACCTCTGTCTGACTGGACAAGATGGCCCTATTTTGAAATATATTTAATCATATTTTATACTTGGATTTTAAATTCTCTTCTCTTGTTTGATTCAGATGTAAAGTCTTAGGGGGTGGGTCTTAGGGACTAGTCGCTGCCATTTAGCTCTGACCTGCTGGGAAGTGCGTAGAGAAGACCAGGGGATACACAGGGTCTTCTGTGTGGAAGGTACGAGCCATTTTCAGTTCCTTGCTAGGAGAAAGGCAGGGTCACTGGGAGCAGGGACACTTCAGGACCCTGTTGATCAGCCGATTGTTCCTGTTCCTTTTTTTTCCCCTGTGGTGGTAACAATGCTGAGCATCATACGTTTGTTTGTCCAGTGATTCTTTCAAAGAAGGGCTTAGCAGCAGTCAGATGCCCAAATCATTTTCCTTTTATTATTCTATATTCATAGTTAGTTCTTCTAATAACTCCTAGAGCCCTACTGTTGATTCTTGGTGTTCAACCAGTCAGTCCACGAAAACAAGATGACCACTTCTTTAGGTTTCAGAACTTTTCAAAGGTATTCTTTTTAAAAAGACGAATGATGAAAGAACATGGGAATCAGAATCAGATGACCTGGTTCTAATTCTGCTTCGACCATGAACTAGCTGCATGGCTCTGCACACATCACTAGACTCCTTTAAGCTTCAATTTTCTTTTTAAAAATAATTTTATTGGGTGAGGACCTAATGCCGGGGGCTTAAATGGAGAGGAAATGTTTTGAGAGTGATGAGGGCAATGAATGTACAAATGCGCTTTACACAATTGATGTGTGTATAGATTGTGATAAGAGTTTTATGAGCCCCTAATAAAATGATTAAAAAATCATTTTATTGTGGGCTCATATAGCTCTCGTCACAATCCATCCATCCATCCATCCATCCATCCATCCATCCATCCATCCATCCATCCATCCATTGTGTCAAGCACATTTGTACGTTTGTTGCCATCAACATCCTCAAAACATTTTCTCTCTACTTAAGCTCTTAGTATCAGCTGCTCATTTTTTCCCTCAACTTCAATTTTCTCACCTGTCAAATGGAAATGACTTCTCTACCTGCTTTGTTGAGAATTCTAAAAAGTATAAAGCTCTGGTCCCACTGTCAAGTGGTGAAGACAGTGGCAGTTTTAAAATATATGTGTGCTCATGTGGCAGTCTCCATCTATTCTCCATGCCATCTCTTCCCATGGGAACTCAAGCCACACTGTAAATTATATTCTTCAGGAAAGTTGTGTGGCTCTGGTTCAGTTCATGTTTAATTTGTGAGATGGGCTTTTAGTTGGTTTCATCTGACATATCAAATGAATTTGGGTAACATTCTCATTTTTTATCTATGAGTCCCCTTCCCTATCATTCAAATAGGTTGACAATACGTCACCTATAGACAATGAGCAACTTGTAACTTTTCCTGTTCTCTCAGTATTTTTCCATTAAACCCCAGGATTTAGTCAGAAGTTCACTATATCGTCAAACTGTTACTCTTGGAATAGTCAGAGGGCCACGTTTCCCTTCTAGAAAGAATATGTTTTTGTTTTATATAAAAAATCTGTTTTGCTTTTATTTAGGGTAAAGGTTTACAGAGAAAAGCATGAGTTTTATATCCAACAATTTGTAAGGTAGAGTTAGGGTCACGATCAGAATTGAAAATACTCCTAAAGGTCAGCAAACAGATTTATAGGATTTTCTCTCTTTTTGTCATTGGTATTTTTTGTTGTTGTTGTTGTCTTCTTTTGCTGCTTTGTTTTGCTCTATCTTGCTTTTGTGCATATTATTATTTCTGCAGGTCTATCTAGATAAGATAGGTGGGATAAACAATCTGGATGAGAAAACAATGGGACCGACACTTCTGGGAGCACTCTACCTTACACATTTGGCTAGACCAGAGCATGTACACTAGTACAGATAAGAGCTGGAAACACAGAGAATCCAGGACAGATAAACCCCTCAGGACAAATATCAAGAGCAGCCATACCAGGATCGTAAGGGGGAGGTGGGGGGAGAAAGTGGGAACTGAACACAATGATCTAGCTATAACCCCCTCCCAGGGGGATAGACAACAGAAAAGTGAGTGAAAGGAGTCATCGGACACTATAAGACATGAAAAAATAATAATAATGTATAAATTATCATGAGAAAGGGGGAGGCAGGGAAAAGGAAGTGGGTGTTAGCAAACCCAGGGACAAGGGAACAAGTGATTGAAATCGATGGCAAGGAGGGTGTAGGAGGCCTGGTAGGGCTTGATCAAGGGTAATGTAACCGAGAGGAATTACTGAAACCCAAATGAAGACTGAGCATGAGAGTGGGACAAGAGGAAAGTAAAAGGAAATAGAAGAAAGAACTAGGAGGCAAACGGCATTTATAGAGGTCTAAATAAAGGCATGTACATATGTAAATATATTTATATATGATGATGGGGAATAGATCTATGTGCATATATTTATAGGTTCAGTATTAAGGTAGCAGATGGACATTGGGCCTCTACTCAAGTACTCCTTCAATGCAAGAACACTTTGTTTTATTAACTTGGCATCCCATGATGTTCACCATCCCAACACAATCGCTGAAGACAAAGTGGGTACATAAGCAAATGTGGTGAAGAAAGCTGATGGTGCTTGGGTATCAAAAGATATAGCATCTGGGGTCTAAAAGGCTTGAAGACAAATAAGCAGCCATTTAGCTAAGAAGCAACCAAGTCCACATGGAAGAAGCACACCAGCCTGTGTGATCATGAGGTGTCGATGGGATCAGGTATCAGGCATTAAAGACCAAAAAATCATATCATTTGAGTGAGGGGGAGTGTGCAGTGGAGACCCAAAGCCCATCTGGAGGCAATTGGACATCCACTTACAGAAGGGTCGCGGGGAGGAGACGAGCCAGTCTGGGTGCAGTGTAGCACCGATGAAGCATACAACATTCCTTTAATTCTTTAATCCTTCCTCCCCCTCACAAGCTTTTAAGATCTCAGTTGCTACTCAACAAAATAGGATGGAAAACATGGTGCTTGTGAACTGTTATTGCAGCTGACCTTGATGTACTGAGTCCCCACCCCATTCCTTCCCTCAAGGTGTCAGGTTATGTTAAAGATATTTCCATCACTTTGGCCCGTGTATGCTCCCCTACATTCATTTATGTATTTTCAACAAAGGTAAAGACCCAGGTAAAAATGTCCTCTGTTAGACCTATCTGTATATCTCTCTCTATATATCTATAGGTATACACACACACACAGGTGTAGACCACGCTCCATACCATACTTGCTCAGTCTGTGGGTCTGTCTACTCGCAGTGCACCGCTCCTGCAGGATTGTGAGTAGAGCAGTGTTTGCCTCTGTTGTCTTTAACTCTTGCAAACCCCCAGTGCCTTCCCCTAGCCTCATGAGATGGATTTCAGAGGCAGGGCAAGTAATGGTTTTTCGTTTTGCCGGTCCAGATTTTCTTGTGCAGAACACAGAGAAGGAATAGTCTGAAAGACCTCCTGTTCCTCAGAAAGTATAGTTCTGCTTCTCACTTGGAAATAGTGATTTCTGGCAACTCAGATGATGTTTCTGCCCCATCTCATTATTTTCCACCTATGAAAGGTCTTCTATGAGCCAAACAAAAACATACCCCCCAAGAGTAATACCCCCCGCACCCCCAGGGTTGGAAGTTACAGTGACTTTAGAAACTGAGAGAAAGGAAGGAAACATTACATGTTTTAAATGCGAACTATTCTGAATTATGAAAATAAAGTAATATATATTTTTAGATCTCATTAATAGCTAGCACACGACCTTGCATCTTTTAATATCTGGTTGTAGAGTCACTCTTGAGTCAGAATCAAATCAATGGCCATGAGTTTGGTTTTGCTTTGCTTTTTAATATGAATTCCTGGTATAGTCACAAACCTTGATGCTTTTTCAGGAATTTGTTTCTCTTTCTATTCTTCGAAAAACATATTGTTTATGTTAGTGTCTCTCTCTTTTTTAAACATAGATAATGAACATGTTTATATGGAGTTGTCACAAAAACTTTATAAATATTGCCCAAAAGAATGGAAAAAAGAGGCCAGCAAGGTACGCCAATACGAAGTCACTTGGGTGAGATTGCCTTTATGAGTGAAATTATTTTGATTTTTTTAAAATGTGTATTTCAGCTATTATACATTAGAAAAAAATTTAATACTGTTATGCAGTGGAGAATAGGATAGGGAAATCAGTTCTAAAATGGCAAATTAATCAAGTGTCCATAGTTTATAGCAACTAGCAATGGATCTCAGATATCTGGTAAAATGACCTCAGATAATAACTTTTATAATCTGGGGCTCGTGCTTTGAAGGGAAACATTCAGGTAGAGAGACTGAGTGTTTGTGCCTCTCCTGTAGCCATGTCAAACCTGCTGGCTTAGCAGTTTCACTATATCATTGTACGTACACGTGTTGACACTTTATGATGTTATTGTACCTGATAGCTGTATTAAACTCCATTTACACCTAAGAGTAGTCACTGTCATTTGCAGTGTTTCCAGGACCATCCATGGTAAGTCAGGAAAGAAACCAGTGTCTAATTTTAGATCCTTGAATTTGTGCTTTGAGAATTCTTGGAATTAGCTGCAAGACTACTTCAAAGCTAACTACAAAGTAAGGAACATGGATGTCTGAGTAAACAAACAGCATGTTAGAATGTGGTATGTGGGATGCCAGAAGAAAAGGGAACATTTGTAATAAGGAGCAAATGGTCACCACAGGGGGGCAAGGCAGTGAGAGGAGCTGAATCACAGCTAGAAATGTCCACAGGCATTTATTTTTATCTTCCCGTATGTTGCCATTGGCACCACAGTGAGTGAGAATCAAGTAGAGTGATGGTGTCCATTTTGTGATATAACTCATGTGTTTATGTGGGCCTGACACCCATATGGGTTAACTACCGTATCTACTTCAAGCCCCACTCATTAGAAGTGGATAAATCCTCTCACTATTAAATGGTATCTCTCAAATAATGGTATTTTGGTTGATTTTGAAACCCAGTTGTAAAAAGCAAAAAATAGCTTCATTTTAAAATGTGTCTTTGTTTTAGGGTATTGACCAGTTTGGACCACCTATGATCATCCATTTCCGTGTGCAGTACTATGTAGAAAATGGCAGATTAATCAGGTATGAGGAGAGAAGAGAGTCTAAACCATTTCCCCCCTAACTCCCAATCGCACTTAGGAAATACGTTATGTATATTTATTGTTCGTCTTCTCTTGCTAGACTATGAATTCCATATGAGGAGGGACTTCTTTTTTACCTTTTAAATTAATCTTTGGGCACTCTGATGTATGCTCAGTCCCTGCCACAACAGGCACACCTGCAAACGTTTGTTGAATGAATGAGCAATGACCGAAGGATGACAGTCAACTCTCAATGGAAATGTTAACCATTTCACTGGCTCACACTTCGTGGCCTGAATTCCAAACAAATCAGCCTCCAGAAAGATACGTTTTTTTCAAGAAAGAACTAGCATTTTGATGAAGAGCAGAAAAATGGATTGAAGCCTTATATTTTCCAGTGAAGAATGGGCTGGAGATCAGAACTCTGTCCTCAAGAGTGCAAAGTACTTATAGAGCCTGCATTTCTTTCCACATCTGGCGTCTTGCTTCTCTTCTTGCTCTATGCTTCACAATAGCGTTAACGCTGAAATTAAGACCAAAAAAGCTGTCTTCTGAGAATCTAAGGGTAGTGTGATAGTGGCAGCTTACTGACTTCATGTTCTGGAGGTGAGTGCGCAAGTAATACCGTGCTCGTAGTACAGATCCAGAATCCACTATCTGAGAACTCTAGTCATTTGTATGAACCCTGGTGGCACAAGGGTTCGTGCTCCGCTGCGAACCAAAAGGCCCCCAGCCTCTCATGGGAAAAAAAACCCTGGCAGTCTTCTCCCGTCAGTATTAGAGCTTAGGAAAGCCTAAGGGGCAGTTCTTCTGTCCTAAAGGATGTCTGTGGGTCAGAATCGAACTGGTGACACACAGTAACAGCAACAGAATGGGAAACTTTTTAGCAGTGATTTATTGGTTGACTGAAAATAATAGTACAGTCATGCATCGCATAACGTCTGTTCAGACAGAGTCTGACTATATATGTGTACATAGTCCCATAAAGTTATAATAGCATTCGCAAATCCCCATCAGAGAATGGAATGTAGCAAATACAACCACTTCCCATACACAACACATGTCTCCTATGTCTCTTGTATACAAACACTTTCACTTCCAATGGAACAATACACATGGAACTTCTAATATCTTTGTCTTGTCATAATAAACACGTGCATATTGTACTTTCTCTCTAAAAAGTTTACTATTACTTCAACCCCTCATCAGCAACATCCAGCCTGATGCATCATGCACCGCTCGAGCGCTGTCACACAATCTCTCAGTTCAATTTTCTTGTGAAAATATTACTCTGATTATTTGAATCAAAGGCAGTAAAACCAGTGCTAGAGATTGCAGCAGCAAAAGGCAAAGTGTAAGTATCAGTTAGGAAATGAAACAAAGGTTATAAAACCACATGAAGGTGGAAAATTTGTGAATGCTTTTGCTCATGACTTAGGCAGATTCTACTCAGGACAATCCTCAGAAACTAGCACACACACAAAAACTCCAACCTGTGAAAAGTTTGACTCCACTGAAAGCCACAAGGCTAACGGAAACGAGAGAGGGACCCATCTCAGATATGGGAAGCTTGCTAATGGTATGGACTTGAAGGCCAAACTCAACAGCTAATCCCTCTCAGAACATTGGCAGTCACTACTGGTGCATGGAACGTAATCCAAGATGCTTGAAGAAAAGGACCACATGCCCTTGCCCAAGAAGATGCTTGAAGAACGGGATGAGAAGGTGTTCGCGCAATGCCCAAATCACTAACGCCCTAGTTCAGAGAACGTGTGGTGAATGTTAAGCAATGCCTGACTGTCAGGTGAACGGTGTTGTGCTTATTTATTTTTGAACTTTGAGAAACTGCATGTACAAGAGAGAAAGATGCACTTGGCAAGTGAGTTACATGTGAAAGATGAGCTCTTTATATCATCCCAGATTCATATAAAGAAATAAAAACCAATGGTAAAGAATTAGAGTTTTGAACATTGAAACTTTTCTGAAAATTTTCTCCCAACTTACCTGTTCAGTGTAAAGTGCACCAGAAAGAAGGGGAATGTATTATTTCGCCTCCTGGGGCTAATAAATGCCTCCTCCCTACTATACTTCTGCCCTTACTTCCTCGGGATGGACCAGTCCAGCCACTGTGTGGTCAGCAGCAAGACAAGAAGGGCGCTGAAAAGTCCTCAGTCCCAAGGGGGGAAACTACATAAATGTTTTATTTCAAGTCCTCCATGCTTACATGTGACCCTAGCTAAAGTCAGACCTTCTGCTTTTATGATCAACTAATGAACTGATCCTCGGGTAAACACCTAACCTAAAATAACAAGGTGATCAATGGTTCATTAAGATGCATCCAGCCATATGTGCACACACACGTGTGTCTTACATTTTCACTTTGATCGTAAAGGCATCCTATTTGCCTGTGATGCATTATGGAGCTTTGACCATGTGTTTCCTCAGTCAGAATTTCTTACTCCATGTATTTAATGGTGTCTATATATACCTGTTAGGCTGATCGCCGCAAGGTCACCAGTTTGAAGCCATTAATAGTGTATCGGAACTTCACGGGGGCAGTTCTAGCTACCCTGTTCTGTAGGGTCTCTATGAGTCAGTACTGGCTCAATGGCAGGGAGCTTGGTTTTGAGTTTTATATTTATTTCTGACTTCAAGACATTGTAGTGAGTGTACTATGAGTATTTCCATTTGTGGGACATATTATGATTGTCATGATATTTGCCTGTAAAAATATAATAATAATATCCCCTTAATAATAGTAACCAAAAATGATTTAAATAGGATTTTTCAGTTCATTCATCCTTAGAGAAATATAAAAGCAATGTTTGTTGTTAGGTAACTTTTCTTTCTAGGACATATAAACAGAAGCATTTTGAAAGGGACTTCGAAGGTTCAATGCTTCTAGCTGGAGAACAAACAAGGAAAGAATAACAAGACACTAAAGCTGGAACTGCCCCTCACATTTGTCCATTTTCGTATAACATATGACACATAGTTGCAGTAGAATAAGTTTTATACAAACAACAGATTCCTAGGCATCTATACTAATACTGATTCAGTGATAAACCATCTAGGAGTGGAATAATTTAAGACACTCACACCTTCTCTGAAGAATCAAATGTTAGAAACCGTAGGGAATTTATCTTTGCAGCCTGAGTAATGTGATTTAGAGTCTGACTCCCCAGTGACCTCAGGGACACAACAGTCAGGTCTTGGCTGCAACCTGTCCACTTCAGTGAGGAGAGAGAGCAAGGTGGGGACAGGAACAGAAGGGCTCCTGTCACGAGATGGGTAGCAGGATTTGGGTTCTGTTTACATGCCATTGGATTGTTCCATCAAAATGTGACTTCTGTTTTCTTTCATTTTCATAGTGACAGAGCAGCAAGATTCTATTATTACTGGCACCTGAGAAAACAAGTGCTTCATTCTCAGTGTGTGCTCCGGGAGGAGGCCTACTTCCTGCTGGCAGCCTTTGCCTTGCAGGCTGATCTTGGAAACTTCAAAAGAAATAAGCACTATGGAAAATACTTTGAGCCAGAGGCTTACTTCCCATCTTGGGTAGGCACTGTTTTCAAATTCTAAAGAGTGCTTTTTTAAAGCACATTTCTAGTACATTGTGCTGCCACTCAGGCTGCTTCAGGACCTGGGAGCCCAGATATTTTATGCACAGTAACCCTTTCATGATGCCCCAACCCAAATCTGACACTGTGAGAGTGCAGCATATGCGACGTGTGGATGCTCTCCTGCTTCTTACCTGCTTAAGCTAACGGGGCAGAGGATGTCTGTCTATCCTAAAGATGGTGATGGAGCATCTCGGAAGAACAACAGTGGTTATATGTGTGTGTATCTATCTATCTATTTATCTTCTATCTATCGAATCTTCTTTACTACCCAATTACAATGGGACTTCAAAATGTTCCATTATCTTTTGGTTTCAGTTTCCGTTGACTTCCTGAAACAATGTGTATGTCCATAGCCCCTTTCCCACCTGATTTCCTCTCTCACCACTTTACTGACGGCGATCTACCTAAGGAGATGAGATGGCTGTTTTGCCAAGTCTGAGGGGGCGGGGGAGCACATCATGCCTTTTCCTGATTGTCTCTGTCATTTGTAACCTACCTTAGGAGATATTATTCACAATCATGCTTTTAACAACTGCCTCCATGCTGGCAACTCCCAAATCTGCCTCCCTTGTAGCCACTTTATAATTGGCTGTCCATAAGCACCTCAAACTCGAGATGGCCCCAATTGAATCTATCTTCTTCCCACTTCAGCGTTCTGTGCTTGCAGCTCTCGGTTCCCAAGCTCAGGATGTGGCACGGTCATCCACTCTGTTGCCTAGAGACTGAGAGTCATACAAGAGGCCCCCTTGTCGCTTACTTTATGCCTCCCCTCTCCAGTCCCTTAACAGCATCCTCTGTTACACAACTTACAAAATAAAATTCTTCTGCACCTCCGCTGTTACTCTGGTTAATAGCAGGGCAAACTGTCCAGTTGTCCAGCCCTTCTCCTATAGGCTTAATACATCCCTGCATGCAGATAAGTCTGTGTTTGACAGCCTACTCCCAAATGAGCTCGTTGTTTCTTGCCCCAAAGAACGGGTGTATCACGTTAGCCTTTTCTACTTCTCAGCACTTCTCAGCAAGGTGATTTGCAGCACTTAGAGAAACCACGAAAAGGGTCAGGCTTCTACATATCAAGGTCCGTTGGACCAAAATGAGCCTATGTTCACACTGCCTAGGTAGCTGTCTTCAGTTGCTCACTGGATCTTGATGATTTAAAGCAGTTTCCCAATTAGTGCACCATGGCGTCTCTCGTGTCTCTATTGTTTCCAGTCTCCCCAGCCCATAGGATGGCCAAACCCATATATTTTGGCACCCTTAAAAAATAGTATTTTGCTATGTATTCTTGGCATGAAAAAGGTTGTCAAATCCTGACGCAGTTCATCCCCATATAAAGTCTAGGATTCTAGGAAGAAAACTTTGTAACAACATTGGTAATCAGCCAATAATTTATCATGTTTAATTATCTGTAAACTACCCAAACAGAAACAGTGTCAATATCTATGAAGATATTTTTAAATGGTCAACTCCTTTGTTTATTTTTAACTGTGATCATTTTAAGCTGTGCTCTTCTTGATCACTTTACATAACTCTTTCCATTTATTGCAATTTTTATAAAATCAGCCCAAGCTTTAACTAATCTAACACCTTTCTCTCAGCCTGCAGCTGCTGCGTGCTCCGTATTTTTTACTTCTAAGGGCCTAACCCACCGACCGATGAAACTTTAAGCCCCAGTGAATTTTGATGAGTATTGGAATGACATTGTTTTCCCTTACATACTCAAATAGAACAATTATAGTCAGCCGTTTATGCGAGAACCGAAAATGTTTCAGAGACTTCTTCCCGGTCGCATGCCTTTTTTGGATTAACCTTCAGCACCTCCCACTTTGTGGCTGTCATTTTAGAAGAATTTAAATAGGATTCAGGACCTGAAGATGTGCTGTCAGTCAAGGTGTTTCTTGACATCAGTAATTGTGCAAGCGTGCACAGTGACGTACACACAGTGATGGAAGCTTGGCTGACATGCCTCATGTTCTGTTTCCTTGGTGACTTTTAAGACTATAGGACGCATTACCACCACCACCACCCCCACTTTCTTGTGACTTTTCTTCTTAGCACACAGAAAAATTGACTTCATAGCTTACAAATATTAGCTGACTCAGTCTAGTAACCTAGCAGATGGTGAAAACAGACAAATAGTGGGGCTTTTCTGATGGAAATTAGCCAATTTACACGGCCAATTTTCGGGGCTCTTCCTTTCATCCTCAGGGGTGTGGGTGGGACGCACATCCCTCCAACAAATGCTGCATGGCACATCCCTTGTATTCCAACAGGTTGTTTCCAAGCGGGGGAAGGACTACATCCTGAAGCACATTCCAAACATGCACAAGGATCAGTTTGCACTGACCGCTTCCGAGGCCCATCTGAAATACATCAAAGAGGCTGTCCGCCTGGATGATGTGGCAGTGCACTACTACAGATTGTACAAGGTACAACACTGCAGCAGTCGGCAGCTCGTGGCGGGGTCGGGGGAGGGTCGGAGCCCTTTTCAGTTAGGTGAAGTTTTTATTAAAAACTGACTTCGGTTTCGAACGGGCATTTTAAAGAATGAGATCTGGACCACTGTTTGTTCTCATAGGTCAGACTTGGAAGGAAGCAAGAATGCTTTTCCTCTGCTCTAGAAGCGATGTGCTACTTTTTAATGGTGCTAACAAGGAGATAACAAATCTGCTACACACGTGCATGTGGTTTTCAGTGAGTCTGCATAGTTGTCGTGCCCTCAAAGCTGCCCTTCTGCTTTGGGAAGTAAAACCTGCGACTTGTTTCCTCCTGATTGTTTATCTTCTGCAAAGGGAAGCCGTACCCGCAGAGTATCCATAAATAATAAGAATGTGACCTTGACCACAGACCTTTACTGAACACTGTTTTTTGTTGGATACACTTTATCTTTTCTCTTTGGATCCCCACAAATTGCAATCTTCATATAATAGGCCAGGAAGGTGAACTACTTCATCAAAGATCATAAAACTAGTGACCTAGAGTCAGTATTTAAGCCTGACCTTGACAGCAGAGGCATCCACTCTGGAGTCTGCTACTCTCCTTTGCATCCTGTCCTTTCAGCCCATTTTTCCCTTCCCACATTGAAGATCACACATCCAATGACAGCGTGAGGCGGGCTCTGCAGAGACCGACTCTCCCCACTGCTTTCTGCTATCTTCCCTTCCCTTCCTCCTCCTCCTCCTCCCTCATTCAGCAAGTACTGCGTCATTGGGAAGAGCTCCCAAATTCCCATTTTAAGCACCCAAAAGTGTGTTCTTCGACCAAATGAGACATCCTGATGGGGATGGTCTGTTGGCCCCAAATGCCTGGATTGAATCCCAGCTTTGCCTCTTGCTGTGTGATTCGAGGCAAATTACTTAACCTCTCTGTGCTTCTGTTTACCTGTGGTTAAAACGGGGGCAATAACACACCTACCTTTTAGGCTTTTTGAAAAATAAAGGAGTTCAGTGATGAACATTGCTTACGACACTGTTGAGTATACGCACTTGCTGCAGTGACCATCATGCTTGCTGTCTCCACAATCCCCTTTCCTGTAAGGTTAACATGGCTCGACCAGTGGAGACTCGATGGTGCTTTGTATCTATTGTTAGGTAATCTTCCTGGCTGGTTCAGAACATTAAGTAGGCCTAAGGTATACATGGCTAATTCTCTGTCATTGTTGAAAGACACACTTGTGTTCCCTAAGATAGCTGGCTAAATTCCTAAAAGGACTAGGGTTTTGTTCTGTTTTGGTGATGGTGCTGTGGTTGTTGCCTGGAGAGATTCCATGTGTTACTCCATAGCAACACCTGAATCTGCCCTGTTTCTGTATGGCGAGAAAATGCAAAGAAATGCACATTGGACAATCAGTTTGTGTTTTAAAATGTGTTAGGAATGGCCATGCTATATTAGAATTATGTGGTTTTGAAATTAGAGCGCATGAGAAACCCTAGGTATCTTGTCTATTGTTGGGATCCTAGGTAAATCTAACCGTGACCCTGGGCCATCTCTCAGTGGGAGTGATGCCAAACACTTAACGAGGCTGGGGAGACTCAATGAGATAATGATTCTGAAATAACTAGGTGGAGTGCTTGGCACCTAAGTGAATGCTCAATAAATATTCATTGTTTTTGTGCCTTATTTACTATGAGTGCTTACTATCTTAAAGAGCCCACTTAAGAACCCTGCAGGTAAAGTATTTATACTCAACTTATCTTTTATATAAAAATTAATATTTTCAAATTTGCTTAAAGTATTGTACACTTCTCTCCTACCTGCTGAAAGAAAGATATTTAAGAAAACTCTAGCTGAATAAAAGGTAAATAAAAACGGTTAGCGCATGGGCAGAGTTGCCATTCTTTGCAGGAATCAGGCAGCACCCATTAAGATGGCTTCATTTAGAGGTAGATGGAGACGATAAGGTGCACAGAGGACAAGGAACATTCTAGGGGTGGGGGGGTGACAAAGTCTGTGCCCCTCTTCTATCGTACAAGTGCAACCAGCGTTGTTAGGAGCATAATCATATTTCAAGAAGCAGTCGATGAGCTCTGGGAAAGGAAATTGGCCTCAATTCATCTCACGATGGATTGGTTTCTCCTGTTAAACCCGTACTGTTTGCTTCTTTCTTGATGTAAAAATGGATTCCTTGAGGGGCCCAGCCCATGTGGTGAAAATAGACGATAACTTTTCTTTACCATGCCAGTCCTAGATACATTTTCTAAGCATATGTTTTCCTGCGTTCGTGGGGAAACTGATATTGTACACAATGAAAATCTCTGTAGAATTATTTTTTATTAAAAACGTCTCAAATAGGAAAAAAATTGATTGCCAAGTGATTTTATTTAACTTCTTCATGCCTACCCAGACAGGTATTACAGATGAGTACTCTTTCCTTCATACCCTAGTAGTTTATTTTTAGTGGATTATGACTTAGTTAGTAAAATGTCTAGTATACTGGGAAGTGATCATTGTAGATATTAAAAATAAGTATTTTCGTTTCTAAATTAACTGAGCATAAAGGTTTTTACAGCTTTGTCATCTGTCTCATGAGAGCGCTTTAAACGTTGAGTCACTTTCCTCTCATTTTGTCTTTGGAGGTGGAAGAGTTGGCCAGTTATAAATGTACAAAGTCTAGTGAATCTCAGAACACATCATCATATGTATTAAAATACACGTATCATGATGTAATGTAGGGCAAAACCATTAAACTTCTGAAATGTCAGGCTTTCAAAGTAGAATACTACTAATATTACTGGAATATGTGTTTGTGATTTTCTTAAATATTGGAGAAAAAACTCGCTCAGTCACCACTGCTACTGAGACAATGCCACAAGGTAGAGCTGCTCCTGTGGGTTTCCCGAGACGTAACTCTGAAGCCTCGTCTTCCTCCCGCGGAGCGGCTGGTAGTTTCGAACTGCTGTCCTTTTAACTGTTGGCAGCTCGATTCATAACCACCCTCTCACCAGAACGCCACCTTTAGAGAAAACTAGAGCTATGGAAAGACAACGCATTTGAAGTCTAAAACTTTCCAACAACCCCTGTCCCCCCTTTTTGGGTGCTGAATTGTCCATTGTAGAAGAAAAATATTATTTTTCATAAAATGTAATTCCTACAGGATAAAAGAGAAATTGAAGCTTCCCTGACCCTGGGATTGACAATGCGGGGGATACAGATTTTCCAGGTGGGTAAATGGAAAATAAATGACCAGTGGTACAGACGGTATCTTTACAGCGAGGCCGAGTGGTCCTGCAGTGGGTGGGTCATTTCTTGCCCTTGATTGGCCAGGGTTTTCCTTTTGTCTGGCACAGCAGATGAGGCGGGATGGATATAGTAAGTCAGTCCAATTGCAGACAGTAATAAATTCTCTGTAGCAGAAACCTTAAGCCAAAGAATAGCCCAGGTTCCTCATTAACAAATCACTGCAAGACCATCAGCATCCAGAAAGGTCTGAGTGGCAGGGTTTTCAGTGCTCTTTGATTCCCTAGAACACCCAAAACTTGCTGGGGGTGGGGCGGGAGGGGGTAGGGATGACTGCCGTTACTGTGGTACCTGACTAGGTGTTTTGATTTCTGTTGCACTCTTCTGATGGAATTTGCTCCTTGGATGAGCAGTAGTTGCCGCCTTTTTTGTGGAGGGCGCGGTATTGTCCTCCGGCCAGCAGTAGGAGAGAGAGACAGAGGTTATAAGGCTGTCTTATCTTCGATGTAGGCAAAATATCCAGTTATGAAAGTGAGTGTTTCATCTCATCACTGTAACGTCTGAATCCTGTGTAGGATTTTAGGAATAGGCCAGAAGGGGAAGGTTGTCACCGAAGGGCTGGGTAAGATAGCCACTCCGGAGAAGCTTCAGAATGACATCACTCATTGTAGAATTCCGTCTGCACATCCCCAGAGAGTTAGGGCTGCTTGCACATTGTAATGACCGACCTTCAGTTTTCTGGGAGAGCCGTCTGCCTGGTAACCCTGAATGACTTGTCTTCCCTCCACAGAATTTAGATGAAGAGAAGCAGTTACTTTATGATTTCCCCTGGACAAACGTTGGAAAGTTGGTGTTTGTGGTAAGTTTACAATGAACTCACTAGAAAGAATGGCTCACCAGTTATTTTGTGTGGACTTTATATTCTTGCTTTGGCTGGTTCTGGTTTTAAAACAGCGTCATCCGAGGTGAAAAAGTGTTTGTTTTATTTTTAAGTTGAAGTTGAAGGTGATTAGCCTTCTTGTGTTCTTAGGCATGCACGCTAATCCTCATCGCTCATCCATAATGAGCTTAAAAGCAAAGGACCTTGTAGCAAAAGAAATTACCAATTCTAATTTATGTATCTGGTCCCTACCACACCACCGTAAGTTATTCCAGTTGCAGAAGAAATGGTGGAGGGAAAAGTCGGGAGGAGTTCCTCGCCTAGGACTGATCCGCAAAGCCCCAGCCGAGGGATGAGAAAACAGAAAGCTGCCATGCCTGCGTCCATTCATTCCTCGCAGGGTGGAGGTTGGCTGGTTCTTCTGTCAGTTAGCATCTTTCCGAGTGGAAGCTGAAGAGTCATCTATAAAGATGTTTCTGTTGTGAGTCGACTGAAACCTATCACGGTACAGAAGCTGTACACTGCCTATCAGGAAGAGTGATTTTATTGTTGCACATTGGGAAGGGTAGACTTTTGTTAGAGCAACTACTTGACCTTCCCTACCCCTCCAGCTGTGTCTACCTTGCCAACTGTTCTATTTCGGGGGGCCTGGGGAGGGAGGTGGGGCCAAGGGAGGAATGTAAGGTTCTAAAGAGTATAAAATGTAAATGTTTGCTTGTCATTAAAATGCGTGATTTTGCTTTGCTCACAGATTCTTAGGGAAAGAGCACACGCACATAATCAGAGCAGGAAGCGAAGGCTTTGGACACGTGTGCGTCTTTCTCTCCCATAAGGAGAGAGAGTATACAAATCAAGGAGTACATTGCCAAGCAGCGTGTGGGCACTGACTCACACTGCTCTCCGAGTCCAGAGACCTTTTTCTGCCTCCACTTGCCTGTAATTACTTGGGTGCAATTCACCCTCGTGTCCCTGTGCTCGCACGGTACAGTCACTGGGACCTGGCCAGCCTCCTCCCAGCGCCGCTGTTCAAATCCTTTGTTTGAAAGGTTCCCAGCTCAGTGAAACCGAGCACATTATAACCTTCCTTGCCACGTTCCTGTCCCGTAGTGAGTGGTAGTAAAATAAAGGGCATTTGAAATTGAGGGTTTTTTTCAGAAGTCCAGGTTCCCTGGTTCCTGAGTCTAGTTGTACGTCAGCATCATCTGAGGCACTTGTTCAAGGTACTGAATCCAGGCCTCCTCCTCGCACCCTTGGAGATGGCGGGTCTGGGGTGGCAAACGGGAATCTATTTGGACAGTTTCCCAAAAGATTCAACCAACTGTGCTTAACTGTGGCCTTGGCTAAGTTTATTTTAACCTCTCTGTGCCTTCCGGGCTTTATCCTAACATGAGGATAACTGACCCTCCCCCCGCAGAGTACTGTGGGTATCGAATGGATTAATAAATACTCAGTGCTTTCTTACATCTATTCCAACATTTAAGATCTCCAGGTGAGTCCTTTAAAACACAAAGCCCAGAGGTAAACAGTCCTACCCTGATCTGGGTCCTCCGAACCCGCACTGCTCCGCGTGGCCTTTGAGGCTTGGAGTTGAAGATGCTTCCCTCCCAGTCTCACCCTCCCTCCAGCTAAGAGTCCGTACATGTGGAATCTCCCTTTTGTAATCCTGTTGCCCTATCGGTTATTAGAAAAGTAAAAGGAACTCTCATAACTATAAGAAGCGTTGCCAGCCCTCAACTTAGAACTTTGTGTTTTTGAAACCAGGCTAACTTGTGAGGATGAGATTCCTTTTATGACACTGTGTATCGCTGTTTGTTTGTTTGTCTTTCTCTATCCCACCTCATCCCTCCGTAGTCCCTCAAGCGTACACCTCCTGCTTTTCTTCTTCCAGCGAGAGAACTTTCCCCTTTCTTCTTCACCCCAACTCGGTCTTCTGTATTGCTCACCCTTATTTCTGTCATAACCCTTATTTACACCATTTTCAGAACTTGTCATGAGCTGTCATTATTGTGTGTGTTTATGTACCAGCTCTCTTACCAAAATATACCTCCAAGAGGGCAGGGGCCTTGCCTGTCTCTGCACTGTCACTTTTAGCCCCTGGCCCAGTCGTGTCATAACAACCATATAGGACAGCATAAACTGCCCCTTTGGGTTTTTGAGACTAAGTTTTTATGGAATTAGAAAGTCTCTCTCTTACAGAGCGGCCGGTGATTTCCAACTGCTGGCTTCCTGGTCAGCAGTGTAGGACATACTCCACTATGCCACTGACTCGGTGGCCGTGGGATTTGAGATTTGAGCCCCGTGCTTGCCCCACAGTGAAAGTGCGAACAAATATGTAGATATATTAATCCCTTGTAGGATCTCTAGCTCCTTGTTTGAGTTAGGGAGTGAGGTTGTAAGGATAATTGTAAGGATTGTAAGGATAATTTTCTTTCCATCACACAAATGGCCTGACGAGCCCGAGACACCAAGCATACCCCTCGGTTTTCGTTATAGTCAGTGTTTGCCACAATTTTTGGCAATCCTCTGCCCTGTGGCATTTTGAATGGGAAAGGAATGGTTTGTCCTTCAAGAATTTTAAATAGAGTGTTGCCCACCTATTTCTAACCCTATCATTTTCTAACCCTGTTTCTAACCCGATCGACCATGTAGAGAGGCTCTTGAAAACCAGAGCTTTTTCTCCCTGGATTTGATGCATGCTGCCTCTCCACAGGGTAAGAAGTTTGAGATTTTGCCAGACGGTCTGCCCTCGGCCAGGAAGCTCATCTACTACACGGGGTGCCCCACACGCTCCAGACACCTCCTGCAGCTCCTGAGCAACAGCCACCGCCTCTACATGAATCTGCAGCCTGTGCTGCGCCATATTCGGAAGCTGGAGGAAAACGAAGGTATCGCAGGTGTCGGGACAGGGAAGCAAGTCGCGTTAGCCACCCTTCAGCCTAGGCTATGGGCTCCTGAACAGGGACGAGTCAGGGACGGGGACTTTGCAGCATTCCCACTGACATCTCGGCACTGCCCAGGAAGTCAAAGGCTGGTGGGGAGGCCCACTGACTAAAGCGCCCCTTCAGAGCATCACCACAGCCCTTTAGCTGCTGTGGGAATATAGCCTCTCCAAACACTTCTCCATGCATGCCTGGAAAGTCCTTGCCACGGGCCCCGTGCGGGTGCAGGCCAAAGGTATTGTTGTCCCTGCATCTCTGACCTGCCTGCACCCCAACCGACATGTGTCAGTGTGCAGAAGCAGTCTGGAATTCCTTCCAGGGTCATTTTCCCTCAGGTTAGTGTGGCTGTAAAGGGGGAGCCCAGAGTATTGCCAGCCTCTCTGATTGACAGCTGGACAGCCGCCAAGCCTGGCCCAGCAAGAAGGACAGAGAAAGGAAGTTCTCCTTTGAAATCGAAGCAGTAGGACCAGTAGGGGCTCTGCTAAGACACAGACCATGTAAAGCAGCCCCCCCATCTCCTCGGGAAAAAAAACTGGTTAGAGACCCCTGAGTTCTGGGCCCAGGAAAGTCCAGTAGGTTCTGGCAGGGAGGAGGGAGGCAAGGATGGGCATCTGTAAGGTCAGACACTACACACACACACACACACACACACACCTACCCCCTCACTCCCACCACCACCGTTCTACCACCACCACCACCACCCTGGGGCTGCTTGATTTGGCACACTTCAAGTTTGAAGTCCCCAAAATGCTATGTGGCCTACAGGGTCATTTTTAAACCTTCCATGTGTCTTCGGAGTCACTTTGTGGTAATTCTGATAACTAGAGTTGGGGTGTTCGTGTGAACACCAGGATCTTAGCAGGCTCCTATCTTAGGTCCGGACCCCTCAGACCTCACCTATCCTGCAGAGACCAGACAAAGACCGGCCCTCTGTGAAACCAACAGAAGACCCGTGGAGGTGGTGTGGGCACCTGCCGCGTTTCTCTCCAAAGCCATCTCTTCCCCTCAGTGAGACTCCGTTTGGAGATGCCATCGTGATTCCTGTAGCAACGAGAGCATGAATCACTTCCCACTGACTGCTGCCTGTTCCTCCCGCAGTGACTCACCGCGGTGACAGACACAGCTCCCCATGCTGACATGAATACCACGAGGAATTCAGACGGGACAGAAGTGCCAGGAAAGCTTGCGAGGCTAGGTGGCTAGTTTGGTGTCGAGCCCATCACTTGCCAAGATAGCCTCCTTCCTCTGGTCAGTTGGCATCTTGAGAAGCCCACTGGTCTCATCAGCTCTCTGCCAGCAGCGTCTTTAGTAAATTCCTATTGAGATAACCTTAAGGGGACCCCTGGCAGTCTAAAGGAATGAGTGAACCTTCCCTACAGGCTCTAAGGTGCAATTACAAAGAATTCAGCATTCTTAAAAGGAGATGGCTTTGTCGACGGCTGAGCATACAGCGCCAAGTGTATCTGGGGACTTCATGAGTAGGAGGATGAAGGAATGATGGAGTTGTGAATTGCTTCTTTGATTCAGATGATTATAGATAGATTTTGAAGGGATGTCCCTTTTTGGGGGGTCAGCCAAAGAAAACATAATTGAGTTGCTGCTTCTTGGAGGTACCTCCAGGCCTGAAGAAGGGCTGAACCCAAGCACCCCTGGAAAGGCCTGACCCCAGTCCAAGGATCTCCTCCACATTTAGGGGCTCTGTCGTTTTAACGAGAAAAGACCCTTTCGGCCTTGAGACAGCAAAAGAAACAGAAGCAGGACGAGAAGCCGGTGTGTTTCTTCATTGAGTTTCATTAGTGTCATGATTCATAGCAGAAAATGACCACAAGAATTCTACCATAGAGTTCACACAGGAGTGGGAACCGTGCCTTAGGTCATTAAAACAGAACGGAAGGACCGAAACTCAACTTCACTCAATTGCTGGAGATTATTCTTAGGTCACAAGTCTAGAGGCCACATTTATGGCATCAGACATAGACTCTAAACCAACGAATGAATGATTTGTGGTCTCTCGACTTTTCATCAAAAAGGATTGAGAAAACACAAACCCCAGTGCTGACGAGTGGGACGGGGGAGTGGGGTGTAATGAGGGGAGGATTCATTCTTATAATGAATTTCAGAATTATTTACATGCTTCCCTCAGAGTATAACCATGTGGTATGAAGCTTCTTGACTGCTTGCCAAGTCCACACCCGGTCTAGCACCATCAACTCTGACTCCCAGAGACCCGGAAGGACAAAGTAGGACTGCCCCACAGTACCCTTAAAAACCTGCACAGCTTTCTCTCGCTGGGTGACCGGTGGGTTCAAACAGCTGACCTTTACGGCTTATCAGCCAAGCATCTAACCCCCATGCAGCCAGGCTTCTTAACGTGTTTGCAAGGGACCCGTATGATACAGCACCATGACAGGGCCAACGCCAGCCAAGCAGAACACTCAGGCCGTGTGACAGGCAATACGATGTATGGGCACTGCTCTAAAGTAGGGAACAGGCCGCCTAGTACTGGCGAGTCCAAACCAGACGATCCCACTGCCATCGCCTTGACCCTTCGTGCCCCTTGGAAATGAAACAGAGCTGTCCTGGCGGATTCCCAGACTGTAAACCCTCTCCAGAAGAGAAAGTCTACTCTGGCCTTGGGATTCCCAGACTAAATCCTCTCCAGAAAAGAAAGTCTACTTTTCCTCCGGTGAAACACCTGGTGGGTTTCAGTGGCCAACCCTGCGCTTAGCTGCTCAGTAAGAAACCCACCCACACCCACCCCCCACCCGGGCTCCTAGTGAGAAGAGTGGCTGCAATTGGTTCTGAACTTGGGAGCAAAAGGTCTCTTTGAAAACCAGTAGAAAGGACTTTGTTTTCTAACACCCTAGGGAATGTTTTTTCCTTCAGTTTCTTTCCACTCTTTCCAGGGCCAAGGGGATATAATTTTCAAATGACTGCAAATAGAAGCAGTGAGGTGAATTTTGCAAACCCCTTCACCACCACCACCACCACCACCACCCCCCCGTCATCACTCCTGTTGCTTCAGCAAATAGAAATGATCAGACCAGTGGGCTCTCTGAAAGACAGGCTGGGTGAGGCCATTGTGTGCAGGGCAGTGAGGCGTGTGTTGAGCTCCAGTATCTGGTGTGTGGCCATACACACTCGTCTTGGTGTTCCAGCCTGACCTCTAAACCAGTGGTTCTCAGCCTTCCTCACGTTGCCACCCTTTCCTATAGGTCCTCAGGTGGTGGTGACCCAACCATAACATTATTTTCGTTGCTACTTCATAACTGTAACTTTGCTACTGTTATGAATTGTCATGTAAGTATCTGATATGCAAGATGTATTTTCATGGTTACAAATTAAATATAATTAAAACATAGTAATGAATCACAAAAACTATGTAATTATATATTGTGAAATATTTATTTCTAATGACAAATAAATGAAATTTTGACTTGAAGCATGGCGTAGCATGGGTAACAGTCTTCACGCCTGGTACACGTATGTGGGCGTATCTGCACATGGGCGGACCCGCCTGGAGACAGTTAGAGGAGCAGTGTCTCAGTTCCTAAGACCATCGGAAATATGTGTTTACTAATGGTCTTAGGCGACACCTGTGAAGGTCGCGACCCACAGGTTGAGAACCACTGCCCTGGAGCTACATGGCTGGACTGGCGCCCCAGATTGTAGCATAACCTTCTCTAGACTTTTTTTTTGCATTCACTTCACAGAAAATACACCTTCTTTTCCTGCTGACACTATACACACGCACACATGTACACACGCATGCACCCAGCACCACCACTGCCCCGCCCGCCCCACCCTCGGGTGAGCTGGCAGGATGACACCGGGAATCTGCAGGCAGACGTCAAGAGTCAGAGTGCTTTCACTTAACCAAGAAACAACTGCTAAATCTATTAACAGGCCCCTGAGCACCCAATTCGTCTACGTCTTAGCAGTTTCTGAAATAATATCAACTTAACGGTCCCCAAATAAATGCCTCGCGTTTCACATTACCCTAATGTGTTGTTATTTCTCATCAGCATGAAAGTACAAGGGATCGGAGCTGTTCCTTTGTTTTAAATTTTTTATCTGAAATACAAAAGAATTATCATTGTTGTCAATGGTACAACTTCCACACGCTTGTAACTTTGTACTTAATGTACTGCTCTGTTTAACATTTGATAAAATGAGCTTTTCCAGTATTATGTCTTCGCATTAAAAAAACAGTACTGACATGTTTAATCAAAGAACAATCCTATCAATGAGAAACCATGTGGGTATAAATACTCACACCAGTAGTTATTACTACTTTTTCTTCTCCAAATAACTGATAAAGCCTCATTAATTTAGCCTGTGGAAGGAAAACATTCTACGTTTATGAAATTCAAAATACTAGAATTCTTGGTAAGAAATTCTCAGAATGGTTTTATGATAAAGGGCATTCAAGAGCCAGAGCCCATGGTCCACTGCTAATGAATAAGTGAAATGAATGGTGATTAGCATTGCTGTGTTCATCACATAGTCGGTAACCAGGCTTTTGAAATGATGTGTGAAGAAAGACCAGTTTTTGTTTTGCTTTTTTAACTTCTAATCTGTCCTGGAAGGATCCCTGGCTCCCTAGTGGGTTATGAACAGACTGTTCACTGCCAAGTCAGCAGTGCAAACTCACCAGCTGATCTGCAGGGCAAAGGTGAATGAAGCTTTCTGCTCTCTCAAAAACCCACCCTGTCCTACACGGTCGCCATGAGTCAGAATTGACTGGCTGGGTGGTGGTGAGTTTGGTGTTCTGTGAGTCATCTTTCCGGGATCGATACTTTTTACAAAATTCAGACTCACGTATGTGGTTGTCATGGCCATGTCAGGTCCTCTGAATGTGTCTACATGTTTGTTCTTCATGAAAACCACTGCCGTCGAGCCCATTCCGACTGCTGGTGACGTGACGGTGCAGGGTCGAACTGCCACATCTTCCTACCAAGGAGCAGCTGGTGGCCTCAAACCACCGACCTCTCCTCTGTAGGCGAGTGCTTAACGGCGGTACCCCAGGGCCCCTTCAGGGTCGATTCCTGAGCTTACCTCTTGGCGGATCGACAAGGATTGACAGGCAAGAAGTGCTCTACTGAGCACACTGAGTAGCAGGGTTCTGTCCTGTTGAAAGTCCAAAGTCTTTTCAGTAGTTCATCCACCCCCCTCACATCTGTTGTACTGGTCTTTAGCCACTGTGCAATCTTCACATTATCGCTACTTCCAAACCCTGGCTTCAGGGTGTGAAATGGCCGTTGCTCATGGTGCGGTGACTTATGTAAGCTCCCTAAGTTCCTGCCGTCCTCGTTGAGTAACCTGACGAGCTGTGCTCTCCCACACCCAGAGAAGAAGCAGTACCGGGAGTCCTACATCAGCGACAACCTGGACCTGGACATGGACCAGCTGGAGAAGCGGTCGCGGGCCAGTGGGAGCAGCGCCGGCAGCTTGAAGCACAAGCGCCTCTCGCGCCATTCCACCACCAGCCACAGCAGCTCCCACACCTCGGGAATCGAGGCAGACCCCAAGCCGCGGGACACCGGCCCGGAGGACGGCTACTCGGGCAGCGCCATCCACCGCAGGCTGCGAACCTGCAGCTCCATGACCAGCCACGGCAGCTCCCACACCTCGGGAGTAGAGAGCGGTGGCAAGGACCGGCTGGAGGAGGACTCCCAGGACGACGGTAACCTACCTCTGAGGCCCTCCGTCCCATCTCACAACTGTCTTGTCCTGCCTCTGTTTCTCTCTCATCCACATTTTCCAAGTGCAGCTTCTGTCAAATTGATGTCTGGGGAGCAGCAACTCAGATGCCGTTGTAGGGAAGGAGGAGCCACTTGCCATTTTCCTCCGAGTCCGGCCTGAGTTGATAATGCTGTGAACAGAGCAGCCCTCTAGTTAGGACCCTGAGAAGCCACAGGCCTGGCTGCTCGGAGATTCGGCATCCTAGGGGGTTGTGAGGAGTGAAACAGGAGGGCAGTCCTGCAGCCTTCTTGTCTCTCTGTCGAATTCCCAAGTTGAGGGCCAGAGTAGGGGACAGTGATAGGGACAGGGGGCAGGGATGGTAAAGGTGTGGGACCCGGCCATTTGGATAAGGATCCATCTGTATCCGTGTGCCCTTTGTCTGAGCTGCGTGGTAGAAACGCCTGTCTTCTTGGTTAAAGGAAAAAGGAACCAGAAAATGACGGGCTTTAGGAGACAAGTGTGCGACACAGAGATCTTACACAGAAGAGTGTAAGTGTCGCTGAGTTGAGAATTGTCCTGACCGTGCCCCATTGCAGAGTCTCACTCGCAGATTGAGTTTCATGTCTGAATAATCACATGGCCTCTCCCAAAGTGTAACGCGGGACTATGTGTGGTGGCACTGATGCCACCTTGTGTCTTTTCCTTCCTCTGTACATCTCAGAAATAGAGATGTTGGTAGATGACCCCAGAGACCTGGAGCAGACAACCGAAGAGTCCCTGGAAGTCAGCCCGGACATGTGCATCTGCATCACGGAGGACATGCTGTCTCGCAAGCTGAACGGACACTCTGGTGAGCTCTGAGGGGAGGGGAGCCCTGCTCCAGGCGGAGGAGGTGCCCTTGAAATGGGAGTGGGGGATAGAGGGGCCTGGGTTTTCGATGGAGCTGGAATAAGCGCCGTTACCCATCGGTGTCGTCAGTCATAGGAACAAGTGCCTCTGTGGAAGAGAGAAAATGGGGGAGTTGGGACGGATCCCTTAGAATTGAGAATTCGCCTCTTCTGTCCATGCTTTGGACAAATGATCGTTTGCAAGCAAATGTTGGGTTTGTTTGGTTTTTGCTATTTTAAAGTCAAGGCATCAGGGCATAAGAAAGGGCTCAGAGACCCTTCAGTCCAGTCTGTCTTTGTCCCCATGAGAAAGCCTAAAGATTAGGAAGGCCATGTCCTACACGGCTGGAAGCACAAGTCAGGTCTCCATCTCTGTTGGGTGTACTCCAGGACAGTGGGTACAGTACGCTGAAGGAAACATGGCCAAGGTAGATTTGAAACAGTTCCCACATTCCACATCTGACTAATTCTGATTTGCTATCAGATTTCCAAGTGATGTTTACATCCATTTAAAAAGAAGGGAACGCTATACAAATGTTACTAGCCTTTTCTCTGGATTATATGATAGGTGATTTTTTTTTTTCTTTCTTCCTTTCACCTTCCTGGTTCGCCAAATTCTCTACAAAACATTGAGCCGGATCGTGTCAGGCGTTAGTATGCCTGGGTCCCTCACCTGTGTTGAAGGTTGATGGGCGGGGCTCCGTGTGTGCATTACAAGAGTTGGTTTTGACTTCTCCAGGGGCAGATCTCACCTGGGGGCAGATGACCCACCGGTCTGCTGGCCAGACGCACGTTTAGCAGGAAGTCCAAAAGGAACCAGAGGGAGTTCCCACCAATGCAGAAATCTACATCTCAGTTGTGCTTGTTCAAAGTTTAACCGTTTAGAAGATAAAGAGCTTCCTAGAGAGGGACCTGCTGTTCACAGCAGTTTGCCTTCGCCCAGGGAACAGGAGCGTCTCTGAGTCCTCATGGAGGGGTTGCCTACATGAAAAGTAAGAGTATTGTCAGGCCCCCACGGACGTGAGTGTTACACACCGGTATGCATCGCCCGTGCCAGACGCTGCTTCTAGACTCAACGGAGGAAGCACAGAGAGTCATCCTGCAGGTTACCAGGAGTGAGCTCAGTGAAGGTCCTGTTGTCGAGAAGTTCCTTCTCTAGGATAGCTGCCATTCTTGTTATTCCTTTTACTGGAACGTTTTAGGGGTACACCCCTCACATCTCACATTCATATAGAGAGGTGTGTCAGCCCTAGATTTCTGTTTCCAAAAAAGTTAGCCACTCGTCCGTCCCGGCCCCAAGCACGGGAATGACTTGGGATTCTTTGGGGCCCAGAGGTCCAGAACGGGATGCTCACTGCAGCTTCCCATCATGCTTTCTTACCATGGGGATCGCTGGCAGAAAAATGTGCTCCAGGCCCCATCTGCCCTCCAAACAGGCTCCCATGAACTGAGATGTGCCACATACTGTTTTATTGTAAAACTACTAGGTCAGAGTTATTATTAACTCTATTTCATAGAGAAGGAGGCTGAGGTCACAGAGGGTAAGTAGCCAGCCAGGACTCGGCGCTAATACTTGTCTAGGCCAGGTTCCAGACCACTCAAGAGACCAGAGCCCCTACAACTAGCCAGCATGGGGCCCAGTTCAGGAGGAATGAAGTTCAAATTAGTGCTATGGGGGAAATCCCGGGGCAGGAAGCGCTCATGAGGTATAGTATAAAGGGCTGCTTCACATTGACAGCCTTTGTTTTTATCACTAACTTCCCCGTACATAAGAACTTCATTGGAAAGGTAGTTTGGAAGATCAGCCCCTGAACTCCATCCTATAACTTTCACCCCACATTTATTCTGTCTGCTTCTACGTATTATAACACAAGAGCGAAGGTATCCTGTCCTTGGTGTCTGCCACCCAAGATCGCAGTGAGATTTGTCACGAATGGTTAATACCGAGTGATGCCTTCTTGGTAGTTGTTCTTGTTCGGTGCCCAAGCTGGCCTGACTCACAGTGATCCTTGGTCCACCAGAAGGACAGTCTCTGCTCTGCTGTCCATTAGAGCCCGTTGCTGCATCCACTGGGGCAGCCCGTCCCCTGCAGGGTCTTCCTCTTCTTCTCTGGCCCTCTGCTTTGCCAAACGTGATGTCTTTTTTCCGGGGATTGGTTGGTCTTTCTTGATAACCAGTTTCTTAGCAGTAGGAGGCTGTGTGAAAATATGATCATCTATGGCAAGAGGTGTGAGGAAATGAAATTCTTTTTTCCCTTTCTGTTTTCCATCAGGATTAATTGTAAAGGAAATTGGCTCGTCCACCTCCAGTTCCTCAGAGACCGTGATCAAGCTTCGTGGCCAGAGTACTGATTCTCTTCCACAGGTATTTAAAGAATTAAACGCTATTTATAGCAACAGGTATATGTGTGTGTGAGAGAGAGAATGAAAATTAAAAACCCTAAAATGCCAGATGGAAACACTTTAGATGTATTCTGGATCTATTTGCTACTTCAAATCGGCTGCTTTTTCTCTGGATAGTTTGCTCTTTGCTTCACACTTGACGAAAGTGAGAGGCCTCCCACCTTAGCTTTCAGGACTGCTGTGGTTTTGGTTGACTGACCTCCACACGTGGGAGGGGATTCTGTTGCCACAGGTACTATGGCGGAAAGGTTTACACACTCTGTTATCCCATCGAACGTGAATCTTCAAAGCGAGCTAAACTAGAGCGTTTGATAACCTGTGATCACCGGCAAAGCTATCAAAATGCCAAACGATAGAAGATAAACTATGCTGAAACTCATGATTTCCACATATCACAACTGGTTTTCGGTTGTTTCCTAATCACTCTGCTTCCGTCTCCACACACTATTCTTTCATTGGTTGCATCAAAAGCCTATCGGCCTCCAGAAACCTAAAAGTTAGGGTAGCAGAATACTTTCATTCTGAGTAGGTAGGGTTCCAGCCAGGCCCAGGGCCCCTGCTCCTCCAAACTGGCTGCCCAGAGGTCATTCTCTAAAAGAGTCCAACGCTTCAGGTAAACCAGTGTCTGCTAAGTTGCTTACGAGGCTCATGTTTGACTTGAAGGTGGCTTTGGGAACAGTTCTTGAAAAACTCACTTTTCAAAAGGGACACCCAAGGGCAGATGGCGACGATGGATCACCCCCTAAGGCCATAAACCCAGAAATCTGGATTCTAGGAGATCAAAATGGCTTT